AGATATACGAGTGAATAGAGTATGATCCGCATGTGATTTCTTGAAGCCAAGATTCATCAATGTTGAGCTGAACTTCAAGTACCATTGCCGTGATGCTTGCTTTAATCCATACAAGGACTTTTGTAATTTCAATACTGCATTCTGAGGTAAGATTCCTCCCTGCTTCATAGAGTATCCTGGAGGCAAACTCATATAAATCTCCTCATTTAAATCACCATTGAGAAAGGCATTCGAAATATCCAACTGATGGAGACTCCATTCCTTAACAGCTGCAACAGAAAATAGTGTGTTCACTGTTGTCATTTTAGCCACTGGTGAGAAAGTATCACCATAGTCTTCACCTTCCTTTTGTGTATACCCTTTAGCCACTAGGCGTGCTTTGAACCTCTCTAGACTTCCATCAGCATTAAGTTTTACTTTGAAAACCCATTTACAGCCAATAGGTTTCTTACCATCAGGGAGAGTGCAAACTGACCAGGTATCAGTTGATTCCAACGCTTCTATCTCTATTTCCATAGCATCAAGCCACTCTTTGATTTTCTTAGCTTGTGCATAAGTACAGGGTTCTGGATACTTATTTACTGCACAAATATAAGCAGTGAATTCTTCAGAGAGCTGAGCATAGTTAATATAGGCTGAGATAGGATACCTGACATCTTTCTGTACATCCGGAACTGCATTACAATAATATTCCTGTAAGTAACCAGGTGGTTTTGACTTCCTTTTAGACCATATGTCCACAGTTCCATTAGAGGAAGGTACAGATTCCACTGTCTTACTATCAACAGACAAGGATTCTTCTGAAATGTCATGAGGGACTGTAGTAGACACTGATTCATCAAAAATATCTTGAGGAATGTGTTTCTTATCAGCAAAAGGATATATAGCTTCAAAGAAAACAACATGCCTTGAAACGTGAATACTATTAGTTTCCAAATCAAGTAACTTATAGCCTTTATACCCTGCAGGGTAACCAAGAAATACACAAGCCCTGGCTCTAGACTCAAATTTGTGTCGCTGATGAGTACTTGTTGATTGATAGCACAAGCATCCAAAGACTTTAAGCAGAGAATAATCAGGTACCTTGTTGTGGAGAAGTTCAAAAGGGGATTTGTTTGAGAGGAGAACACTTGGCAAACGATTGATCAGAAACACGGCAGACAATATGCAATCTCCCCAAAACTCCAATGGTATACAAGACTGAAACATCAAAGCTCTTGCAACATTCAGTATGTGTTGGTGTTTTCTCTCCACAACTGAATTCTGTTGAGGTGTCTCAGGGCATGAGTGATATGAAATAATCCCTTGATCTCTGTATAATGAGTCAAATTTCAACTCAGGGGCATTGTCTGACCTTACTGCTTTCACATTAATCTGATACTGAGTCTCTACCATCGTAAGAAATCCAGGGAACAGAGTTAATACTTCATTCTTAGCCTTCATCAAGTATACCCATGTTGCCCGACTATAATCGTCTACAATAGTCAAGAAGTACCTGAATCATTCAACAGTTGGTGTTGCAAACGGTCCCCAAGTGTCTATATGAACCAAATCAAAAGCATGCTCAGACATGTTATTCTTAGAAGGAAAAGTAAGACGCTTTTGCTTCGCTTGTTGACAAACTGCACAATGAACAATCTCATTTTTATTTCCTTTTCTCAAACCAAGTACATTGTGTAGTACATCAATCTTTTCAAAAGAAGGATGTCCTAATCGGCTATGCCAAAGAGCATTATCAACAATAGCATTGCAATTCGCATTTACTGAAACAGAGGAGCTATTATCTAAACTAGAACATTCAGCAGAACTAGTACTCAAGACATATAAGCCTCCAATTTGTTTCCCTTCACCAGTCTTCTGCTCCTTGATAGGATCCTGAATTACACAGCAACCCTCATCAAAATATACTTTTGATTTCAAATCTTTAGTCAATTGACTTACACTGAGGAGATTAAGTCGAAATTGAGGAATATATAACACATTGTATAGTGTGATATACTCATTCAACTTAATAATCCCTACTCCTGCTATCTTGACATTAGAACCAGTAGGCAATGTGACTTCACTACGCAAATCATCAGATAGGCTTTCAAACAAATTTCTATCAAAAGAAACATGATGAGTTGCACCACTATCTATGATCCAAGTGTTAACAGTCAACATTTTCCTAGAGGTTGTCAAAACACATAGCAACCACAGAGTAGAGGGAGAGAAAGAAATACCATTAAAAGCAGAACCATCATTATTACTAGTGCTTGCAACAGAGGCAATAGTAATTGGTTGTGTAGGGTTATGGAGTTGTTTACTGAAATAGGCAATCATATCTTGTATTTGGGTCTTTGACATGTTTTCTACCAATTCAGCAATACCATCTGGTCCAATCCCTTTAGTATTCATTGTTTTTCCATCAGTCAAAGCGAGATTAGCAACAACGGGCTTTGATTTCTCTGGTGGTGTAACACTCTTCTGCTTGTGTTTAAAATCCAATGGATAACCGTGAATCTTGTAACCAAGTGTCTTTCGTATGTCCAGTGTAACCACAATGAGTACACTTGTACTTTAGGTGCTTAAGGAGGATAAGAACGAGTAGCATTCACAGCAAACTGCGC